CTCTCTTATATTGATTTCGTAAAGTATATTTACGAGTTAACTTGTCCTATTTTCTAAGTTATTAATTCCACTTTTCAATGGATGGCGTCTAGTTATATTTTAGATGACTAATCATTTATACTGTTAAGTTATAAAAGTTTAAACTCGATAAGAAATTCGCGCCGAAACATACCTGTTTTTTGTCAGCCGAAGTTGAGACCTGCTTCTGCTGGTTCTGTGATTGCATAGCCGGCCTCTCCGGTGGAAGTGATTGTGAAACCATCGCCATTGGTGGAGAAGGCCAACATACCCAATTACCTGGATTGTTAGCTTGAGTCATTACACAATTATTAATCTCCCCAGCCATCATTACACTTTGCTCATTAGTAATTTGTCTTGGATTCCGAGCTTGGTGGCGATAATGATGTGGACGCAGTCGTCTCTGCCTAGCCATTCTGTTCTTCCTAGCTTCTTTAGTAGCACAAGATCCTAACCTTGGTACTATCTCACCATTCCCATCGAAAAGTTGATACGGATCATATTGAGCACCGAATAGAGACTGATCAGGCATAGCAACATTATTAGTACTATCATTCTCAGGAAATGGATTGTACTGAGACGTGGTCGCCATTGTAAATTGCGATGGAGACCAGGATTGAGATGTGTCCATGGGTTGATACTCTGCTGAAGCCGGTGAAGTTGCACCTCCACTCATGGTTTGACTATAAGGAGGCGGAAATAAACCTCCGTTTGAATAAGGATCACTAGTGTACCCCTGTATTGGCCCTGTCATTATAGGGGTACTCGAATCGGGGAATGGTGCATTTGGAATCCACTGAGGTGGATAAAAACAAGCATTTGGATCAAAGTTATAAGGGACAGAGTTTTGAAGAGCTTGTTGATTAATGGCTTCAGCTTCTCTCATTTGTTTCTTTTGCAATCTATGTTGTTCAACCCAATCAAGAATGAGTCTTAACAGCTGTTTTTTCCCCTCTTTAGTACTTCCCAATCGTTTCGAAGCACTTTCAATTGTCGAACGTTTAAGCTTAATACTCCTCATATCTTCAGCACAAATGTAATCTCTGTTTTGCTTTAGCCATTCGAAAAACATAAGTGCAAGCTCACTATCCCCTTGAAAAAAAGAAAACCCCTGATCGTCGTCTTCTTGTGGTAGTAGTTGTTGTTGCTGCTGCTGCTGCTGCTGCTCCTGAGGATTTTCATTATGAAGAAATGAAATCATAGGGTCAAGAAACTCATTAACATCGATATATCCAACATTATCCATGACGTTTAGACATTCTTGATCACCAATTGTATCGATTTTTTTATCGAAATCTTGTTCATCAGCATCAGATTTTAGAACCACCCCAGAAGATGGATCAGATTCAGTAGGAGGGGAAAAGGAAGTTGACGATGAAGAAGACATGCATGGAAAATCTTGAAGAGAAGTAAAATCAGTAGAGAAATTTTCATTTAGCCAAATATCTGTTTCATCCATAGGATCAAAATCAGTACAATCATGCTGCTGCTGCTGCTGTAGCATTTGAATATCCACCAAATTAGTATTCTCATTTTCATTATCAACACCATGTAACTCTCTCTCCATTTTTCTTTGTTTCTACCAAAAACTCAACACTGCAAAAATAGTACCCATTTTTCAGATTAAAAATCCTTCATTTGCACAACTTTCGTTACTAACGAAGCTAGCGCAACAAAATTTAAAAAAAATAAATAAATTTAAAGAAAAAGATGGGCAATGTACCTGATTAAGAATTCGGTCTTCTTATCTCTCTTCAAGTGGATTTTGCAACATAAACCATCTGAACTTTGTGAATTTTATATATTATATACACACACAAAAAAAAGTACAGTAATACCAAATCTGAAGAAAGCGACAGTTCTTGATTTATATATATATATATATATTTAAGGCCTCTTATTAATATTAAAATAAAAATACCATTAACCAAAACTGAAAGCAAGCACAACAACTCTTACAGAAACAGTACCACCGTAGAAATTTGAACAAGGGCAAAGGAAGTGAAGTGTGGGTAAAAGAAGTAAGTTAATCAGACAAAAAAGAGTAACAAACTTGTCTGATACAGAGGTTTTTGATTTTGAAACTTTTTTTTGTTGAAAGAGATAATTAACAGCGGTTAGTTTTTTTTCTAAAAGAGAAAACCAGGAAGAGGAAAACTTGGTGCTGATAGTTAAGAAAAAAATGGTTGCCGGATTATACGGCATACGTGAAGTCATCTGAATGGTGGAATCCAGCGGTCCATTTATTAAAGAAAATGCTCATCGATGAAACAGGCACCTCAATTCTCTTTGTAAAAAATAAAATGGATTGGACCGACTGAGAAAAATGTAATTTATTTTGTAATGAGAAAAAAAGAAACATAATTAAGCAGCTCATTTCTCTTTGCTCTGCTCATTAAACTTTGTCGCCATTCGAGACTGTTACGGTGCACTTCTTCAGCCTCTTCTTTTCTTTGTTCTATACAATGAATCCGACGAGAAACCTCGTCGTAATATAATTGTCGAATCGTTGAGATTTTAATTATAAATTTTTTTATATAATTCCTTCTTTTAATTAAATTCAAACGTTCAGATAAAAAAACAAAAGACACACGAGTACTGCAAAGAATTTTTGAACTTGAATAATTCAAACTTAAAAATATTTATTTGTATTAAACTTTAAGTATTTATTTAATTTGAATAAATTTTAATTATGGACATGTTATTTTGTGTGGATGATTGTTATAAATATTAATAACTACTTATTATCATTGTTATTTATTACTTATTTATTTATTAGCCATTATCATCCATTAATTTTATAGTCAATTGCTATTGTTAGATTTATCGATTTTATAATTTTCTTTGAGATGATAAATACGAATATTAATAGAAAATGTTAAAATTTTAATTGCATTAATCCAATGACATTGGGTCCAATGAGATATGAGATTGAGGGACATTGACAAAACATACTCAATTATCTCTAAAGGAACATATTTATTGGTAATTAAATTAATTACTATTATTGATATTATTATATAATTATATCACTTTTTGTTATTACTGCTCTCACTATCTGGCTATTGCCATATTTTGCACTATTAGAAATTGGCTACATATATACATATAGTTAATTATAAGAGAGAAAAAAAATTAATCGAAGAAGAATTGTCTATAAAAATAATTTAATATATATTCTTAAATTTATAAATTTTATACTAGATAAAATTTAGATATCAGATGTAAAGTAAAAAAAGACTAATCTTGTATTAGTTAATAAGAAAAAATAAGTTAAATACGTTATCATGGTTCATTTATATATCATTCGTTAAAATTTAATTTTTATTTTTAAAAAATTTCATTCATATTTAATTATTATATATAATTATACAATTCAGATAATTTTTTTGACATGGAGCAAGGAATTATTTTTAATAGTGTGAAACACCTAAATTGGTCAGAAGTGAAGAAACAAGTGTCTGCAAGAGAAAAAAAGTTAATCGAAAAAGAATTGTCTATAAAAATAATTAAACATATTTTCAAACTTATAAATTTTTATACTAGATAAAACTTAGAATCAGACGTAAAGTAAAAAAGACTAGCCTTGTATTAGTTGGTAAGGAAAAATAAATTAAATATGTCATCATAATTCATCTATCATTTGTCAAAATTTAGTTTTTATTTTTTAAAAAAACTCATTCATATTATATTATAAATAATTATACGATTCAGATAATTTTTTTGATATGGAGCAAGATTATTTTTAATAGGGCGAAACACCTAATTGGTCAGAAGTGAAGAAACAGGTGTCTGCAAGAGAAAAAAAGTTAATCGAAGAAGAATTGTCTATAAAAATAATTAAACATATTTTCAAACTTATAACTTTTATACTAGATAAAGCTTAAGTAAGAAAGACTAGCGTTGTATTAGTTGGTAAGGAAAAATAAATTAAATATGTCATCATGATTCATCTATATATCATTCGTCAAAATTTAATTTTTATTTTTAAAAAACTCATTCATATTATATTATCATAATTATACGATTCACATAATTTTTTTGATATGAGCAAGAATATTTTTAATAGGGCGAAACATCAAGATTGGTCAGAAGTGAAGAAACACGTGTCTGCAAGAGAAAAAAAGTTAATCGAAGAAGAATTGTTTATAAAAATAATTAAACATATTTTCAAACTTATAAATTTTATACTAGATAAAGCTTAAGTAAAAAAGACTAGCGTTATATTAGTTGGTAAGGAAAAATAAGTTAAATATGTCATCATGGTTCATCTATATATCATTCGTCAAAATTTAATTTTTATTTTTGAAAAAACTAATTCACATTATATTATTATAATTATACTACGATTCAGATAATCATTTTAATATTGAACAAGAAATTATTTTTAATAGGGCAAAACACCTAGATTGGTCAGAAGGAAAGAAGGAAAGAAACAGGTGTCTGCGAGAGAAGAATGCACACAAAACTCCCTATAACAACAAATTAAACTCTTCTATCTATTTTCACATTACTAAATTTTCCAAAATCTTTTTATGAAAGAGAATTGACCTGCTTCTCTTATCAATGGAGAATATAAAATAAAATAAATCCTTGATAAATACAAATTTACACTGAATTTTACTAATTAATTACAAAATTTATTCATCGCTAATTTCTATTCGCCCAAAATGACCACCGCTGGATTGAACCATTCAGGTTAGAGTACATATGGCCTAATTTGGTGGTGAAATAAAATAATATACGCACCAAGTTTTCTCTTTGGTGGTTTTCCTTTTCTCTCTCATTTTTTAAAATAATATATATATCTTTACAAAAATATAATCTTCATATTGAAACAACTTCTCACAACAGGCCATAGTTGTTGTTGAAGTTTGGTATTGTTTTTGTCTGAATACATACTTGAAGTACTTGCTATTATGCTTTAAAGATTCTTGTATAGTGTTATATGCTATTGCAAAATCAACTTTAATGGTATTACTTTTTGAGTTTTGTTTGATTTGTAAGTAGTTTTATTGTACTAATTACTATTTGTTAAAAGGTACCATCAAAAACTTAAAAGTACTAATTACTATAAGTATTTTTTGTTGGTTAGGTAGAGAATTTTATGTTGCAAAAACTAAGAGAGAAATGATCAACAAGACCTACTTCTTGTAACTTAGGTTAGCTTGCTTCCATGTGTTCGTATTTTTTATGAGTAGAGTTATTTGTTACTCGTTGATGGTGGTGGAATATGACAGGTATCTCGTGGAATTAGTCGAGTTTTTAGTTCAAATAACTTCGCTTGCTTTCATAGAGTTACCTTGTCGATGGTCGCAGGTATTTCATGAAATTAATTGACTTTTTAGTCCAAACAACTTAGCTTCCTTCCTTATATGTGCTATCTTGGTAGAGAGAGTTACTTGTTACCCTTCCTGGTGGAAGAGTGCAGGTATCTCGTGAAATTAGTCGAGATACGCGTAAAAACAAAGTTAACTTAGCTTAATCAGGTAAATTTGCCCATTTCTCTCTAATTTTTTTTTTTGGTTTTAGGCAGAGTGAAGCTTGCTAGCTAGTAAGAAGTTGTCAAGTCAAAATCAAGAATGAAAAGGGAGTTAAATGATGTTTATTATGGTGGCAACAAAGAAGATGTGCATGGATTTGAGAATATTAATATGGTGCCTACTGATTTTGATCCTATGGATGATACAGATATTTGGTTAAATGGAAATTTCTCTAATGATTTTACTTCTCTTCAAGATTTTCCATGCATGTCTTCTTCATCATCAACTTCCAATTCCCTTCCTACTGAACAATCTGATCCATCTTCTGGTTGGGCTGTTCAAAAATCTGATGCTGATGAGCAAGATTTCGACACAATTAGTGATCAAGAATGTCTAAATGTGATGGATTTAATCGACGGGGATCATGAATTTCTTGACCCTATGATATCTTTTTTCAATCAACAACAAAAAGAACAAGCAAATGAGGAGCAAGTGTCTATTTTTCAAGGGGATAGTGAACTTGCACTAATGTTTTTGGATTGGTTAAAGCAAAACAAAGATAACATTTCTGCTGAAGATATGAGGAGTATTAAGCTTAAACGTTCGACAATTGAGAGCGCGTCGAAACGATTGGGAAGTACTAAAGAAGGGAAAAAACAGTTGTTGAGACTCATTCTTGATTGGGTTGAACAACACAGGTTGCAAAAGAAACAAATGAGAGAGGAACAGAGTATCCAAAACTCTGCCCCTTTTAACTTTAATAATCCAAATGCTTGCTTTTATAATGCCTCGTTCACCGATTCGTCCTCTGTAATGACAGGGCCAATACAGGGGTACTTTGGTGATCTGAATTCTAATGGATCTCTATTCGTGCCTCCGTATAATCAAACAATGAGTGGAAGTTCAACTTCTCAGTCCTGGTCTCAGTCGCAATTTATAATGGCGAACGCTTCTCAATACAATCGATTTCCTGAGAATAATATTACGAATAATGTTGCTATACCTGATCAGCCTTTATTCAGTGCTCAATATGATCAGTACCAAATTTTCGATGGGAGCGGTGAGAGATTGGCAAGGTTGGGCACTTGTGCTACTAAAGAAGCCAGGAAGATCAGAATGGCTAGGCAGAGACGAGTACCATTGCATCATTATCGTCATCAGACTCAGAATCAAAGACAAATTAGTAATGAGAAAAGTGTAATGATGGGTAGAAAGATTAATAATTGTGCAATATCTCAAGCTAACAATCCAGGAAATTGGGTATATTGGCCTTGTGCTGCTGCTGCTCCGCCAATCGCCATGGTACCATTGGCTGATACTCCGCAATCACTTCCTATGGAGAGGTCACCCGTGCAATCACAGAAACATCAGAAACACGGTTCAACAGACAAAAGACAGGTTGGTTTCGGCCAAAATATTTTTCGAGTTTAACTTGTATACACTAACAGTAACTTTGGAAGAAAATGAGTTGGGGATATACAAGATCGGGAGTCGAACCCTCACTAACAAGGTTAGAGATCAGGTAGTCCGTTCAACCACATGGGCTATTAGGATCCCCATTCACATGTTGTGTATATAAATTTTAAATCACCCGCTATAGTAATTGTAAAGATCAATAATATATATGTGTCAGACGCTTTAAATTTCGTGTGGATGTTCTTCGACAGGCTTGCAAAACAGAGAAGAATCTCAAATTTCTCATGCAAAAAGTGCTGAAGCAAAGTGATGTTGGCCATCTAGGAAGAATTGTGTTACCAAAGGTACTCTAGTTAACGTCATCATAAATTGTGATACATATATTCCCATTTGTTAATTATAATATGAATGATTTAGTCGATAACTGAAAATTTTGTTTATAAGTAGAAAGAAGCAGAAAGTCATCTCCCGCAACTTGAAACAAGAGACGGAATCTCAATTGCCATGGAAGACATTGGGACTTGTCGTGTTTGGAACATGAAATATAGGTACACTTACTCGAAATAATCATTTATGATCAAGCTATCTTTTATTAACTTTGCTCGATTCAATTGTTTTCCGTTAATTTATAGTCATCTTGCTTGGTTTTATCGGCTTTTAGTTAAGGTGTGAATGTGAAATTGAGGGAAAAGAAAATTTTGAAAAAAGTTGCTTTTTCCAAAGGTACTTTATCCATCATTGGATAAGAAGAGGTAGATTATTGTGCTTATCTATAGAAGTACTTCTTCTCACTCTTAAATAGTTGGAAAGAAAGTGTTATCCTTGCATCGTCGTTGCTGCTCAGCTTCGGATTTGGTCAAATGACCTGATTTATTTTTTCCTGAAGGGTAAATGCTTGAAACAGTATTTTCCGAACAGACACTGGCTTTCACAAATAAGACTTCTCGCACCTATTCAGTCTCTTTACTTGTATAAATTAAAGGCTTTGTTTCAGTTTTTCACACACCGAAATATTTGGAAACTCGCACATTGCATTTCTGCAAATTTTTACATCATTAATGACAATTTTTGTGTTCTGTTTTTAGATTTTGGCCAAATAACAAAAGCAGGATGTACCTTCTCGAGAACACAGGTTTGAACACAATTGACCCAGCTTTTGCGTAGGATATCTATTTATATATAGTACTAAGTAATTTTTTATTGTTATCTTTTTCGCGATTCTTGAAGGTGATTTTGTCGTAGCTAATGGACTTCAAGAAGGTGATTTCATAGTAATATACGCCGACATAAAGTGTGGCAAATATGTAAGTCCATACTTATATATAGTGGTTTAGTTTTGTTATCACTTGAAGCGTGTAATTATCTCTGTCATTTGAGTTTAAATTGTCGAAATATATATATATATATATAACAGTTGATACGAGGGGTAAAAGTGAGGCCGAATGGAGCAAAATCAGATGGCATGCAGCCAGCAAAGAAAATTGTTCGTAAAATAGCTGCTGTTGCGTCATCTCCATTTGCACAAGCTGTTGGATAGTCCAGGAAAAGAGAAATCAATCTCAAACAAGTGAGTTTGCTGTGATCATTTCTTCATTCTTTCCTTTTTTTTTTACAAATTAGTACTTCATTTTGTTAAATAGAATTATCTATAGATGACCCTGACTCATGCAAATGACATGTTTAAGGGGTTCGTAATTGTTTGCAAGGATACTGTCACATATATGTATATGTTATAATCTGAATGTGTGGTATCATTTCCTTGCTTATCAATGTAATGACCACCATCGGTTGTAATTTAGTTTAAGTTGATATACTTTGAGATTTCAAAGAACTTCCGTGCTGTCTTATTTGCTCTAGCTAGTAGCTATGTATGTAGGTGTCAAATGGGTGGGGTTCGATTGGATTAGCTGGTCAAAATTCAACTCGCGCGATTATTACCAAGTTATAACTGTGTTATTTGTTGTTTTATAAATTTTTTTAATATCTAATAAAATTAAATTATTTTTTCCTTATTATGGATAGATATAAAACATCAAATAAATAAAAGATTGATTTTTGAAAATATTTTGACAAAATTTCTCATGGATTAATTTGGGCGAGTTGTTAGACCAAATTTTGATGGGTGGAAATGGCCTGAGTTAATAATTTGGCAGGTCAATAACAAGATTGTTTGTTTAGACGGAATGATCTTTTGGCTTTCCTTTACTTTCATTTTATTAGATTGGAATGAGGTTTAAACTCTCCTCAACACGGCTAAATATGAAATCCGGCAACTTAAACAAGGACAGTGAATCGAAAGATTGTAATTACCATCATAATCAGTAAACATGCAGAAAATAGGAGGGGAGAAGGACTGGAGACATATAAATTTGAAGCGGAATCCATAGGAATTACATATGTATAATATATCATATTTTATAAGGATAACAATTACAATAATATTTTGAAGCTGAACATCTACAACAAGAAAGAAACCTAAAAATTGGACTTGCATAACTTTTATCCTTCTTTATTTTAACAATCTTTCTGTTTCTGATACCATGAGATAAAATTTTGGTGAAATGGTATGTAGGATATGGACAAGAAAAAGAAGACAGCATCTCAGAAACTTCTCCAGAGATACTCGAATTATATCTCTCGGGGAGTTGGGGAGGTTGAGGACGGGGTACATTAAGACAAGTGGAATGGACAAACAGGTGCAAAATCAATGTAGTGTTTCAAGAACCTTATATTCAAGAGCTAAGGCAGATTCAAGATTGTCCGCTCTTTGAAATATGAGTTCAGAATTTAATATTTATACAACATTTTAGGATTTCTCACATATATATTAAAGGTTTTAAGCTGATAATGGTGGGTTAAATTGAACCCATCCTTAATATTATGTGTCCTCCCCTGCTCAAAAGGTGATTAGGGGCAGACACAAACTAAGAGATGAAAGATAATCAGAGAAAATTGGCTTAGAATGTTGAATTCAATGGATAGGTAAAGATGATGTGATGGTGTGGTTTGTGATCACTAGATATGTTGATGTGCTTGACATCAACATTTGTGTCAAGAAAGTGCACCAGCATTCGAGGTAATCATTCCGACCAAGGAAGAGGACTTCGCAGCTAAGCTTGAGGCTCTTGCATAGCTGCCTGGAGCAGCACGTCCCGATGCAGTAAAGTATGCTCCATTCAACAAAAGGTCTCCCACTGATCTCCAGTTCCACTGTCTCCATGATCCTTCCCATGGTTCCACTCGTTTTGTCACCTGGTGACCCAATTCCATATATTTCAATAATATTCTAAGGTTAGGCTTTACCTTCCTTACTTGTAATGTGTTGTGCCGTGCTCGAGTGGTTTATTTACAACAAAAAAAAAATCAGTCCAAGTATGCTTAGTTTTGAACTGTACCTCTTTGGCAAAAGGGTTCACTGGGGCAAGGTATCTGTTACCCTGGCTGTTAATTGTAGGAGCAGCACTGCCACCAATGGCATACATCTCCCAGTGCGTGTAGTCATTGTTCACCACATGGAAATAGCCATGCCTACATCTGCGATTAATTATGTCGTACTATTGTTAGTCCAAGAAAACATGGAGTATAACAATCATGATCACGCCTCAATTCCAAGCAAGGTGAAATTCGCTATGTCAATCATTACCATTTATGTGATTCTAGTTTTGGGGGTTAAAAGTTAGGTGAAGACCAATTTCTTTACATAGTATCTTAGCATGGTCCATCTCCATTATTGCTTACCGATGTTGGGTGTGCAGGGCGGCCATCGCCCATCTCCATTATTGCTTCTAGATGTTGGGTATTCTTATAAAATTGGCCACTCTCTAGATGTTTAGCTTTGAGTGTGATGTGGGAGTGTTGTAGAGTTCCACATTGGATGAAAAATGAATGGGTGGCTATTTAAAGTGAGTGTGATGTGCGAGTGTTGTAGAGTTCCATCATAGCTAAACTTTAGGAGTTGATTTAGATAAAAAAGATACGTTTTTTCACAGTACCGCAAACATCAGTAATTTACTAAATCAGATAACTGTTTTTATAAAAACTATTCAGGATTTTCAGATTGATACCTTGGCATTCTCTGGATGAGGCCCTCACCGAAATGGTTGAAGGCAATAGTCACCTGCATAACCTTATCTCTTACATAGGTATCACTGTGCCCCAATAAAATCACCTACAGATAAGTTGGATTAATGAATAATTAGTCTTTAAACTAAAGTATCAAATGTTGTTTTAGTTGAAAATTGACCTCATTGTGATGGGTGAAGTAATTGTTTGAAATGGTAATTGCAGTTGAACCCATAATAGCATCAACGAGACCATCAGCACAATTAGAAAGAGAGTTGTGATCAACCCAAATATGGCTTGAACCGAAAATGGAAATGGCATCACCATCAGCCATAGTCCTCCAACCATAATGTGATGGTGAGCTTCTAACCAAGGCATTACCAGTTGGTTTACAATCATGAATGTGGAGACCATGAATGATAATATTAGTAACAAATTGGATAGTAATACAAGCCCCATTCGCGATATGCACGTTCACACCACGAGCATCTATTGTTTTGAAACTATTCATGATCAGTTCTTGCTTAAGTGTGATGTGCATATCACGTTTAAACACTATCCACAATGGCTCATCTTGAATTACAGCATGACGGAGTGTTCCAGGTCGGGGATTTACTGGATCATCATCACCCGAGTCAGTAACAACATAAAACCTGCACGCAGAGGTAGATTTAGGATTTATAGAAAGCTATACACCACGCTCTGAATTTGCCTCTGAATATATATACCTGCCATCTCGGCCACCAATAGCGTTACGTCCAAAACCAATTGAACAGTCAGCTAAGCGTCTGCGATTACGTTGCCAATTGCGATCGCATCGCCAACAATCATCAATAGGATTTCCCGTCCTACATGAGAAGTAACCCAATTTCCTCCTCTCTGTGCTATTCCTAATGCTCCTATACAGAAACACAAGAAAGATGAGAGTTCAATTTTGTCGAACAAAATTAATTAGGCACTCAGCCTCAATGTAATAATTGATTTAGGGTAAGATGTTTTCTGGACTGATTCTACGAGATACATATCACCTCCCAACAGCAAATTTAGAACAGATATTAGGTAACTCTGTCCACCAAATTTAGAAGAGATGAAAAAAATCTATCTAATATTCTTTACCTAAAATCTAAAGATTTTTTACCACTTCCTCACTATTAGGTCACACCTTGAACACTAAATTTTATTCCAAATTATGTAAAAGACACAAACAAAATCTCACATGTGACTAATTTGATGTGTATAGTATAATAAGACTTTTTGGAGGGATCAAGTTGACCCACTCAAAAATGTCTTATAGGGGGAAGTTAAAAATATATGTAATGTGATAAATAAATAAACAGTAGATAAAAAGAATACGGTCAATACGGAAATAGTACTTATTTCTATCATTCCATGTAATAATAATAAAAAGAATATCTAAAATATATGCACATGCAAAGGTGGGGAGATAAATGCATGATGTGTCGGTAGGAGAAACTATTTATTGATTAGGCAAAAGTCATTTAATATATGGTTATGGGCTTTGTCAGTACAGCCAGCTGCTGCATCCCTCAATTTGGAGCCCAGATCTCGTATCTTCTTACCGCTCTACTAACTTCTCAGGCCATTTGCCAGGCTGGGATAGGGGACAAAGACACGATGTTATGTGCCCTACGATAAGTGGGGATGTAAATTGGCCAAATTCATCGTCAAAAGATTATTCTACGTGGCTCCTCTTATGCATACATATGTTACCAAGAGATTGTATAACATGAATAATAAAAAAGATAGTTCAGTCTGTACAAAGCATTCTGCATTCACGTAGAATCCTAAAATAGATTGTAATTAAGAAAAATATGACTATAATTAAATTTTTTTTATTCTAACTAGAAAAATGATTCCAGATATTCTTTTGACCGTTGTATATAATAAAAATGTTATTATAGTAGATAAGGACTATTATAGAGAAACTTAGTTGTATATGAATTCTCACCGTCAATAGTACTCCGTCTAAGTAACATGAATATGAACAAAGAATATATAGAACAAATATAATTGCACCTAACAAGCATTATAATGTGCCCCTTCATGTAAAACCACCTTCAGCCTCTACCAGAAGCATGGATACACGTGAATGAAAAAGACTCGATAGATAATATATAATGTGGCTATATATGATGAATAAATCTCCTAGCAGGAGTATGTGAAGACCAAGTGGATTAGGCAGGGGATTGCAAGTATGCTAACTTATAACTTATTCTAATATGGCCTTTCTAATCTATGATGATTAACACTAAACCAAAAAGGTACTTTGTAGTTTGGACCAATATATTGCTACAACATTATCATGACTCAACTTCAAAGTAAAGTTTATAAAATAAAAATTGTCCAAGATCATCTCATCCTTTTAGAATTGATATGGAACTCAAGTAATCAATAATATCTGTAATCAATTTTACTAACCACATAATAACTCCTCTGACACGAATCCTAATCGTTAAGGACAAATTCACAGGATTGGTGAGATGATTTAAGAATTGTTAATTACTGGGGCTTATAAAAGCTGGCATAGCTAGATAGCCTGTGGCATTTGCATGTGCAATATGCCTCATAGGCAGTCTAATGATAATCAGAGTAACTTCTTTTGACTGTCAGCAAGAGATGAATTTGGAAAGGGAATCGCAGAAGAACGGAAGCAGAGGGAATTGTATTGGAACGGTTCGGTAGGTGAGATATTAAAGACAACTGCTGCATTGCTTTTAATTTTGTGGGTGATGTGTAGATATCGTGGCTGACTAATCACAAATTTTGGATAGACAGACAAACGATTTTTTTTTAATGGGGGGCTTTTTCCTATTTTATAGATCCTAAACAGTAGATATAAACTTTTCACTATGGGTCGATTTTGAATCACATTTGACATATAAAAGAAGTAACTACTTAATTGGTTTGATTATATAAAATTTTACTTTATTATTGAGAATTTGATTTACTATTTTATGGTTTTCGCTTCAATTTCTCCTTCCTCATCCCTATGATTATAAACTTAGCTTCCTTCAATAAATCTTATGCATATGAATTTGAATTTGGTGGATCAAAGATTCGATAATTAATCTAAAAGGTCAATGTAGTCTTTTTACAACAGGTTAAAATTTGAATTCGATTTATTATGCTAATTATTCTTTGTCTGGTTGTGAATTGTGTTATATCTTTAACAATTTCCTTAATATAAATTTTAAAAAAAGTATAGATATATATAGTAAAGAAATATTACTTTTATTTGCATAAAATTATAATTTTTCGGGAAAAGGAGATTTAGACAAAACTCCTTTATTGACATAGCATCGTCACCGGGTGTGGGGTACTATCTATCTCTCTGTTCAACCTATTTATGATTGAAATATCATTTTCCTCTAAAAGACTTTTAAGAGATTGTTTCGTTTGAAGATAAATTATTTTAAAATTAATTATAGTAAGATAAATTATGATGAATTAATTATGTTGAGACTTTGAAATTATTTTAAGGAATACTAAAAAGTCATCTCAGAATTATTTTTTAATGCATCGTACCAAACTAGTCCTCAGTTTGTACTTTGTTTTTCTACAAAAGGGTAATGACGCGGTAAACATTGGACGCCTTTTAATCATAAATAACTCAATAAAGGCTCTCTATGGAGTAAATCATCACTAACTGAAAACACATTAATGTTAAAGGATAACTAATCTGGAAACAGTTTTTCCGCATAACATTTTTATATGGGATTGCTAAAGACAGAATAAACTTACATATCCACCATGGAAGCAATGGCTTCTGGATCATCTTCAGCATGTTCATGCCTAAGTTCATCGTTTCCACTTAACCTGAAAAACTTAAATCATGTAAAAAAAAAAAGTAAACTGGATCGCAATTACAGAGTTAACAGAACCAGATATTTCCAGATCCGATCAGTCAAATTCTTCTCTAATTCAATTGCAAAGTTAGTACAGTACTCGAAGAAGTAAAAGCGATAAAGGCGGAAAACAAAATGAAGTTAACCTGTTCGTCATAGTCGAGTTACTTAAGCTCTGAAATTGCTCTGCTTGTTCAATACTGATGATGAAAAATTCAAAATCTAATGAGTAAAACTGAGTAAAAAGTAGCTCCATCTTCGAATCGAAAAACCGAAACACAGTCGATAAGAATGGAGAATTTACTCCAGCACTGCTCAAATGTCAAAGTTAACAAAGAGGAATTGAAGTATTTAAATTCTATAATAGAAAAACAGAATCACTGATAGTAGCAATGGCGTAAATTCCAGAAAATCAGGTATTGAATTAACCTTATCGCAGCTCAAATGCCAAAATTACCAAAAGGAATCTCATGAAAGGAGTAATACAACTACTAAATCGAATTGATCGGAAAAAATACACAGAAACAGAGATGATAAGAATGACACAATTTACAGAAAATCCGAAATTATACTAAACTACATCGCTGCTCAAATGCATAAATTAAATTTCATATTAATCGAATTAATTTGCTTCCACATTGTAGAAAAAATTGCTACTAAAAACGTAATGAACGGCCCGAATACCTGTTATCGGCCGAAGAGTTGATGAATAGTACGATCACAATCAGCAATTGAAGAAAACACAAACATGATAATCTCAGAGCAGCTGCCATGGCGAAGTTATCTCTAGAATTCGCCAATTTTTCTTTCTGTTTTGGGCAAAACAGAATGTGGCTAATTTATATTATGAACGGAATGAAAGCTTGAAGAGAAGAAACGTTTATATAGGGCTGCAAGTAAGAGACAGAGGTACCATTCATTAGTTGTCCAACTTTTGATATTGTTCATTATTGGAAAGAAAAAGGCTAATAAAACTCTCAACTTTAATTTATTCATTAAAAAAATATATATTTGCATGTTTAATAAATTAATAGTTAATCTAAATTAAAGTTTTATCCATGCAATCAAATATCATTTGTCTTTTTAAGGTTTAATCTTAAGAATATTTGCTTAAAACTTTTAGAGCTTCTATAAACCTCTCACCTAATTAATGTTCAAACTTAATTTCTCTTTAGTCCGAACAAATTCAAGTCCGGAGCTTTAAGGTTATAAAATATTTACGAAAATTTCAAAAAGGTATATAAAATTTTATATTAATCAAAACGGTAAAATTGTTGGAACAACAGCGATTTACTCCATCGGAAAAAGCAAAATCGCTATCACTGCAGCGATTTTGCAAAATGTGAATTTTTTAAATAAAATAAAATAAAATCGCTACCTAGGCACGATTTTCAAAAATAGAAAAAAAAATTATATACTGTTTTGAAATTTTTATTAATATTTTGTACCTTTTAGACTCCGGACTCTAACAAATTCTATATTACTCAACTATTTTGAGACAAATTTAATTTGTCGATCGGTTATTAACGACATTAATGAGGTTAAGTTAGTAATTAACTAAATTTATTCACTAACTATGTAAAGAAATAAATCTATGTGGTGTTTGGACCACTTTACGTATATCTCGACTAATTTACGAGATGCATGTCATCTCCTATCAATAACGTGTATCAAATTACTCTATCCACCAAAGTTAGGATAAATAAAATGAATTACCTCGTATTTTACTTTTAAAGTTCTATATAATATAAATAAATCTAATATATAGCCTCAATTCTTCCGCATTAATTAACGATAGAACTAAATAGTGTTGAGCGAGTTCAGCCTCTCATTTAAAAGTAATATTTTAAAATAAGATAAAATAATTTTTTTTTGATAGTAGATGAGAGGTCGATTTTCCATGACATAAAAATAATTCTAAAAAAAATATAATGATAGAGAAGTTCAAAATTATTTTAGAATGTAAACTACTTTTACATAATTTCTGTATACAGTTAAAAAAGAAGAAAAAAAACTATTGTGATTAATATTTTATTTTATTTTACAATAACTAAGTACCTAACTAATTCATGAGTCGTTTTCTCACGTGTCAATGCGTCGGTCACTCACGTGCCAGACACTGCAAAATTTAAACAGTTTCCATTTCTCTTTCTCGCGAGCTTGTCTAACAAATTAAATTCCACCGCATTATTTTTGGGGCCTACCACGCCTTCCACCTCAGCCATTTATTTAATTCAAATATATAAAAATAATATTAAATAAAATATAACCATGTAAATTAGTTATGTTGTATTATTTATGATACATATAATTTCTTTGTTAAGATTATTTTCTATTTACTGTGAGCATACATGTATCAATAGTTCATATGTTGCTAATACTATAGTTTGCTATCTATTTGTGTCTTATAATATTGAATAAGATGTATAATTGATATACACGAGTAATATAAGTCACATGGGTAACTCTTTTAAAAAATTAATGAAATGAATGTACAAATATTTATAATTTATTATAGATGACAAATTTCAAAAAAGTTTCTATGAGCCGCAATTAAATTTTTACCATGCTATAAAATCGCATAGCATGAATTAATGAGTTCTAATGATTGACGATGTTAAAATAATTTTAAAGTAAAAAGGATGGTTAATGAGATTAGTGAATTCCTTATAAGGTTTGAGCAACTCTTGTAGCTATCTTCTACGGTGTGAATTAGACTTAAAACCTAATCTCATACGATATCACACCAAGACCATTCTCACCCAATGTTAGGCCTCCAAAATAATCAAAAACCGTTCACCCATCAGATGCTAAGTGTTGAGTGTAAGGTGAATAAAAAATTATCTAAAATTATCCACGCACCAGGTGTTAAACACTAAAATATTCACAACAACATGTCTAAACTTCCATATAATTTTACTGGTGAAATCTGAAAAGAATAAAATGCGTGTAAAAATTTAAATATGTCAATATAATTTTCTTGACAAATATAAAAAAGTTATTTACGAAAGATTCTCACGTCAAGTAACCCAAACTAGGGGCTAAATATAAAAAGAAGTGTTAAATATCAAAAAAGTAAAGTGACTGAGACTTTATTATATTTGCCGTCAAAGTTCAAGCTGATTTCCTGCACCATTTGAATTATTATACATAGCTACATATGAATTTTTATTTGCTCATGGAGTAATTTTCTGTCCATCAAAATTTACTAGCAAAAATTCAAGTACTTCTTTTCAGATAAACTGCAAATATGTTCCAATATCAGACCTAAGTCAACATCATCTCTTTAATGAATTACTATTCCCTATTTGACTTTCCACTTTTTACTTGTCCCACTAGCCAGACAATATAAATTGGGGGAATTATACTTTTTTTTTGTTTAAAAGAATGATCTTCCATGATCCATAAAAAGAAAATAATTTGATAAATAAATTCGTCTGAGAAGAACCATATAAATAATTTTTTTATAATTTTAGCTAGCTGGTTGTAATAGTTTATAACGTCATCGAGGTAGACATAATGCATAAGAAGTATATAATTTGTGTATAATGTATACATGAGTTATTCATTGATTATATATTAAGAGTGACTAAATTTCGTAAAAAAAATAAATATTAGAGTTTTTTTCCCATCAAATTAAACTCCAAAGTCATTGAATTCATCACCCCAACTAAATGTAGGAACGCTAATAGGTATATACATAATGGATTATTCAATTGTACAACTCAAGCTTTCTAGGGTAAAAGAAATGAATTATGATGATAAAATATTAGAGTTCAAATTTAAATAATGATGGAAAATTTCAGAAAAATAGACAATGATAATGATGTGTTTCTTGGTATCTATGATTTGCATTTAGTCATGTCTATTATTTTGCCTTTTTTGAGAGAAAGAAAAGAAATTATCCATAAATTGTCCTATTAAAAAACTAATGTAAAGCTCACATGGGGCTCCTTCCTTAAAAAAAATATCTGGCATATAGTAATAATAATACATAATTGCATGCGGAGGAATACAAACCACACATTAAATCGAGTCCATCCTTTCTCCACAATTATGAATTATTATGTAAGTAATAAGTTTAGAAACAGTAACGAAGCATATTTTTTAAAACAAAAAACAGGGAAGGGAATAGGAAACGGGGGAGGGGGTTACAAAATGGAGAGTCGAAACCTCACCAACAGGGTGAAAGTTTTGATAGTCAACTAGCTGAACTGCTCAGATTTATCACTTGCATTGTATCACCCCATCATACAGTGATGCTTTCTGAACGATACAGGTCTTCTGACAGCTAAGATATCCAAGAGAAATGTCGTGATCCTGAAATAATTCAACAAGATATCTGTCTCCTAAATCAGTCTGCTGCGATCCTCTCTTTCTCATCTTGAAATTAAAAAGTATCAAAATTCAGAACCCTTTCAACATCGCGATATGGATTCGTAATGGTCAATATAATCATCCAGAAACAATGCCTTTCAAGATATGAAGTTTTCTCTTGCAGTTCAGGGCTTTCAGCAATCAACAATCTGAGGGGAAAAATTATTGGATCAGTATGTGTACGTTTAAAATGAGGAAATGTTTTTCATGCTTGGTTAGTCTTCTGGAAAATACTTATTGAAGATTGATGATAATTTCAGTAAATTGGATGGTGTCTTGATGAAATTTAGGAGTATCAAGTTTACAATGATCTTCGAGTTTTTGTTGGAGAAAGTGAGATGGTGCAAGAGAAGTATTTGCAAAGAAAAATGACTTTCGCCCAAAAAGGGGGAGTAGTCAGTTTTTCCCTTTTGATATGAAGTGTTTTCGTAGAAAAGATTTTCCAATACCAAATAATGCTTATCTCGTGAAAAATATTTCTTGGTCATACCGACAACACGTTAAACTTTTTATAATTTAGACTCAAGCTGAGAAATATGTCAAGTTACGAACTAGTCAACCTAAATTTACAAACAATCATACCTGCTAAACATCTTTGTACAGCAATTGGAACTTTGGTATTCTCTCTGGAGGAAGGGGACAAGTCACTATGAGCTTGCCTTTCATGGCCCCTCTAAATATTGCCTGCTTACAAATAGTGACGGTCGAGCAGTTAGAAATGACTCCACATTCATGACTTGTAAAAAAGTTAATCATCAGAACAAAGTATCTACTCAGCAGATTCAAGAAAATGCACCAAGAACTTTATCATACTAGCTCCTGAATAAACAGCCAACTAGAACACAATCTTATGCACATCTAGATGCAAACTGAATGAACAATCAGGTATTCTATAAAATTATGAGCTAACTGACAAAAGTCTAACCCTCTACAAAATCTATCTGAACCTAAACTCGTTCTCTAATTGTTTAAGTTGATACACATACGCAAAATAGTTGCTACATTCACAGGCAACTCTTAGCAAACTAGGAGATCTCCCTTCCGATCTATCTTTACAGCCAGAAAACACATCCATATTTAACCAAAGTTTCCGAGCTTTATTCGATGCGCAACTTTTTGGACTTCTTAGAGGAACATCCTCCTTGAAAGAAATAATGTGTCCTTAACTAATGGTATAGGGATCTCAAACTACTAATTTTATTTGATAACCGAGAATTTCCTGAGGCCCAATGGTGCACAGTTCGAAACTCAGGAGATAAAGGGCCCACCTATATACCGTTCTCCACCTAAATACCAGGATTTTGTTTAAGGCAGTGTTCGAACATGTGTGAGTCTAACTCTAACCACATATCACGTGTTGCGCTCTTACAATTAGACCAAAATCCTGGAGCCATTTCAGAGAAAAATTTTAACATTTATTTTCACTTATATTGCAGCAGAATATGCATCTCAGTGTACCCTTGACTATTTGACAGATCTGGTTGTTGTGCTTTATAATAATCTTAAGAACTGATCCCTGTTAAAACTTAGTTTCAGAAATTTATGGCAGAAATACTGTCTTGTGGTATGGTTATGCATTGAATCTTAAGTAGGGGGCTGGATGCACAAAACAACCCATTCCCCTTTACGACGACTCAATGAACTTTGACAAGTTACATCTGGTTGCACGTAATCTTGACGTTCACCTTTCACTCGTGCAGTTGGACTAACTTCTCCCTTCCACAATCAAAGTTTCCCGCTGTTCAAACTTCATGTCCAAGGGACATGCAGAAATAAATCTACTAGCTTAATAAGCTAATTTTGGATCTCCTTCCATACATATACCAGAATTTTGAGTCTAGAAATCAGAAGCTTGTGATATCTCAGCCATTCTCCAAAAGCCAAAGTACATCTCTTCAACTTAAAGCCACAAACGCGAGAGTACAATCACATATATTAACTATTGTTCTGCCAAATTACTTGTCTTTCTGGCTTTTATATTCCATCAAAATACACTCATGGCGTTAATGGATCAACTTCATGCAAGTATTTGCACCATACTAGTCACTCAATATTGCTGGTTGTTATGGTACTGTCATATTTCACTCTTTAATCAATCGCCTTCCAAGGCTTTGGCACATCTAGAACCCATGGAGACTTAAACAATCCTGTTTAGAAAGTGCTACCCGAAGTTTATTTACAGTTGAATAAGGAAGTCACAATTATTGAAAAGCTGCACTTTGCAGCAAAGAGCAAATAATTTTACACTTAATATTCATCTGGAATTCTGGTTCATAGGAAAAATACTAAGGTCTAAAAAGGAAGTTGTGAATTTATCCCATACCTCTACAACATCAATGAAGTCTTGTTTTCTCTGAAATGCTCCAACCCACTTGGTGTGATCTGCACTCCTGGAGAATATCCATCTTAGAGAAGTAAGAGCTTCAATCATGAGAGAGGTCCATAAGATACAATAATATCACAGGAATATAATTACAACATCAAGCTGTCCTTGACAGATGCATAACTCAGTTTACAAGTAATTGCTTTATAATTGTTGCAATGTCGTCATCAAATTTATTACATAGATAAGTCTTTCAGTATTATCATACAATTAACAGACAGAGAGATAAACCTTTTTTTTTTTGCTTTTGAAATATTAGATTGAGAGATAATTTTAACATTAAAGGTAGCATAACGAGTGGTAGAGGGAAAAATAGAGAAGCAAATTATTTGCAAACTTCCCTTGGAACATGTTCCAATATAACACACCCTCCATTCTCCAATGAGGGAGGAGGCAAGTACGAATATATGGCGACAAGAAGGTTATCTGCAAATACTTAGCCAATAGACTAACACATTCCTTTTCTCTCTTCTTTTCTTTTAAATAGCCTCTCCATCCTATTTCCTAATAAGAAACATTTTACGCCTTCACAGTTCCCTTTTCACCCTCTACCCGATGAAAAACAAAACAGAGATTTGGCTCTTGCAAGTAGTTGCTTGAACCGAGTCAAAGTCACTTCAATTTCCATTGATTGAAGGACCAAAGAACTTGTTATCCAAAATGTTGTGGAGAGCTTCCAGCATTCTGAATTAAATTTAATTTCCCAACAAAATGTGTCTAAGATATAGTCAAGATTATTGATTACAGTAATATAAGGACTAACAATATGTTGTGGTCCTAACGCTCGACAGAGATGCCAACGGGGATAAGACCATGGATGGCACTTTCTTCAACTAAATTGAATCACAACAACAACATAACGAACATGCCATAGCAGAAAACTTCGAAAATTCGAACAAAAAGAAGGCATACCCAGAATCCATCTTCATATGATGAGCATTGAAGAAGAAAATGGTAGATGGTATTAAGGTTATATCAAAGTACTTGACATAAACTCGAACATCCTCTGAATCAATATCCACTAAAGCCACAGTGGCAAACTTGGACACCTCTCTCACAGATTTATACAGCTGCAGCCAACAAGAAGCAATGAAGTAAATGAACCACTCCAGAAAATATAAAACTTATGCAATGTCAACTTAACAGTGAAAAAACACTTCTACACAATTCGAGTGTCTAATGAATAAGGGTGACTTAACATTTTCCACAGCTACCTACATCTTACACACAGAACTATACACAGCATAGTTGTAATTTGTAAAATATATACTCCCTCTACCTCAATTTGTGCGCAACTATTACTATATGCAAAGACAACAACTTGCGCTATTCCTCCCAAACGAAGAAAAAAAATTTCTCCAAGAAAAATTATGACTTGTAGAGTGGTAGTCTTCTTCCCAAAAAAGGAATTCCTTCAACAAAATTATAACTTGTAGCCTTCCTCCAAATAAAATTATAACTTGCAGTGAACCCAAGGGTGTGCCCTAGTAGTTAATGACATAGGTTAAGAACCATAACGGTCTAAAGTTCATAAGGTGATTTATTCCCATCTGTCCTAGCCTTGTTGCTGGTGGAGATGGTAGTGGAATTAGTTCATGTGCATGAAACTACTTGTACTATTAGCTGAGTTGATCCTGGGGCATATCTACTAGAGCTTTAAGCTCTATGCACTCACATAGTAAACTATATTACATAATTTGGTCATTAATAATGTAAGTACAGGCAAATCTCTGGTGCAACCTGATGAAATTGGTTACTAAATTCCTACAACTGGTATAAATATTTTCTACACTTTCAGTGTATATAACTTAAATCCATGTATAATCTCACTAGCTTAGCTTAAAATCCTAAATTCGCCTAAAATTTAAAGTTTCCTCAGAAAAGGTAATGATTTTTACAATAGAAATTCAACAAATTGGAACAAAATAGATTAGTCTATCACTGTTTCACAAAAAAAAAGGAAAAAAACAGAAAAAAAATGGAGGCGTACGATGTCGTCAAGCTGGAGGCAAAGAGGATCAGAGGATCGGCCGAGACGGAGGACGAGGACTTTGTCGATTGTGTCCCTTATTATAGAATCTACTTCTTCCTTCTTCGTCAGCGTCCTCAATATATAATCCATCTTCTCTCCCCGTCTTTTCTTCGAATTACGGCCAAACGCTACCGGGAAAACTTTATAAGTATTTGCATGCGACGAGGGCTTCGCCGGAGTGGTACAATTTTACAGTAAATACATCGACGAATACTTTTTTTTATCAGCTGGAATAATTGCACTTTTGGTCCCTTAATTATAGATAAAATGTGATTTTAACTTTTAATTAACTGAAATATGTGTTTTTAGTCCTTCTGTATAGAAAATTGGGTATAGGTTGTTTGGCCCGATAAGTGACATTTTTGAATCCGATAATAATATAACGAATCATTGTGATTTAATTTGTCGAGCCAAAACAATAAATAGGTCATTATTCATTTTGCTTTAATTTAAATTATTAGATGATTTACAAAATATGAATTGATTTTGTTAATTGTAAAGTATCACCACCTATTGAATGTCTCGTCTTCAAATCAATATGAGGGGATTTGGTCTAAGCATTAGAGTAAAATTTATCAAATGGTTATTCAACTTTAAGTTTATCAAAAAACTGTCTTTCTTTCTTTGAATTGATTCATTATTAGTGTCCTCTTGTACCTATGAAGTCACGGTGTTGTCTCATGAAGCTTTTTTTATTCAGTATTTTTGCATCTACCTTTCGAACCAGTCATTTGATATCGCAAGAATATAGCAGTTATAGGTACTACTTCACTTATTATACTATATTTGTTCAAAGAGGCATATTGTAAATGTGTAGGAGAGTGATAATTAAAAATAAGAGACATGGTGTAGTGGTAGATCTCCTTTTAAATTGAGCCTCCCATCCCGGGTTTTAATCTCATTGCGGAGATTTTATTTTATTTTAGCTTCTTTTCATTTCTTTCATGTTGTGCTAAAAGAGTAAATTTAAAGCCCAAAAATTCAAATGTGCTATAAGGTCTATAGTATGGAACTAACTTTTTGTACCTATATATTATATAGTACTTTCTTAAAATTATATTACTTATTCACAAGTTTATACTTTTTTCAAACCCCCTAAATAAAAAATTTGGATCCATCAACATATTATTAATGTGCTAATTTGCCACCTCTAGGTATAATGCATTAGTGCTATCCTTAATTAGGATTCACTATTAGCTAGATCAGAAACAACATTAAATGTGAAAGAGACAAGAAATAAAACCTACATCTCAATATTCTTTTTATTGGATTATGACTTAATGAAACACTAAGAACCAGTTACTTAACTGAGCATGATAGGTTAGAGAATTATACGCCTACAAAGACAAAACTATATAATATTCAATTTATTATGTATTAGTTTAATTAAACAATCACCAGACATTTTAATCACTCCACCTCCCAAACATATTTGTGAGGTTATTCTTTGAAAAATATATTTTTGTAGGTACGTACCCGTTGCAGTCCTTGTTTTTTCACAATTGTTTGTGTCCACTACTTAGTAAATGTATTAAATGTCTCATAAAACAAAAGAAGTAATATATTATCCACCCCATTCATATTCCTATAGTTTTATTTCTCGATTAATTATTTGATATTTGTTAGGTTAAAATTTCATATTAATTGAAAAATAAAGTAGTGATCTGCTTATAATACGGATTTGAACGATTTTATGCTCATATTTTTACATGATATCAAAAGTTATATCTTTAATCAGTTAAACGTTATCATATACTTTAGAGAATACTTTTTATTCGTATATTTTCTAGACCTAGCTCATATAATAGTTCCAAAAAAGGATGAGAGGAATAGTAACCTAATGAGACCATGAGAGTGTTAGATTCAAAATAAAAATAATTCTATTAAGCAAAAAAACTCAAAGGCTATCTCAAGTGTAGGTCTACAAGTTAGCTATTACAAAGTTTTCTCGTTCGTTTCATTATAAGATAAATCTATCACTCAATTACACGTATTTTTGTCATGATCTAATTGCAACCAACAATTATACATCTATTTATCGTATTTTTTCACCTGCTCGATAACTAGTAATTGGAAGCGACTCAATTTCTGCCTTGGCAGTTGGGACTTTAAAACTGATCTTTCTATTAAATCTTATTGTAACATGAAAAGTACCCCAAGACTCCCTTAGATGGCCATAAACCAAACAACACCAAAGGCCCTACATTTTGTATGGTGAACAGAGTTTCCACCATAGATAAAAATCCATTTATTACATTTTAATTTCATTATTAGTGTCATTTTTTCTCCCTTAGATTCAAGATTTGCTTAGTACCCACCACATGATCATTTAGTCTTATAACTATATATTAAGTTGTATAAACAAAATTCTCTATTGCTACAAAACACACCAAGATTGGTGTCTTCATCTTTCTCCAAAGGCCAAAGACAAGAAATTTTGGCTTATTACAGACAAACACATATAAAATTTCCTTCTATATTTTATCCATTTGACCCAAAAAAATTGTCTCACTTGTATAGTCTAAAGAATCTAGTCTCTTAAAAATATATTTCCACTAACATGCAGGTTAGCTAGTTTTCTAATATATATTTTTTCTTCATTATAAAATTATTTATTGTCATGTTCACATCTAGCTAACTTTGAGTATTCACATATATAACAGATCCTTCAATGGCTTTTCAAGAATGCAAATGATACCAATTTTAACACCAATTCTAGCAAGAAGCAAGTTGTTACTGGTAAGTGAAAAAAATAAAAAACTTTGTTAACTATTTTGTTAGTATTACACTTAGTGTTTAAGTATTGTAATTTCACTTAATCTATTTTTCAAATTATCATATCAGACTTGACACGACGATAGTCTTGTATGAAAAGTTGCCTATTTATAGCTATTCATGCAACTTTACAAATTGAAATATGTTATCGTTCTATTTTTCAAATTATCATATCGGATTTGACATATGGAGATTGTCTTATAAGGAAAAATTGACCTATAAACCTTATGATGTAAATAAACTATACTTTAGATTGTTACATTTTAATGTCATTTTTGAGATCAAAAATCATCAATATTTGTTAATTCCTCTGTTTTTTTAGATGAGGAAGTGAACTCCCAAGGCATTGTCCTGTTTGAGATTTCTGGAAAAAAGAGAAATCGAGCTGGAAAATCAGCGAATTCGAGCTGCTGCAACATCCTCAATTGGTTCAACACATTACGCAGAAAAGACATTGCGAAAGAGTATTTCTACAGCACGATTCGTCTAAATAGATTGGAAAGTTCGCGAAGGAAACAACAGCTTGTACATTGCATGAAGATGAAAAAACAGAGTCTTACTCGTGGATTAAGCTTTCGTCGAAACTCAGATTCTGCCATAGCCAAAGTTCTGCCAGTTAGTGATGCAGTAGGAACAAAAAATAGCCATAAAGAGCAAAACCTTAGTGCAGATAAGAAGGAAAAGGCCAATGGAGATAAAATGAAGACAGTTTCAAAGATGAAGGAACTAATAAGATGGGCTGCTGCTGTTAAATCACAAAAGGGAGGAAAATACTTTAGTCAAAAGGTAAGATTACTCGAATTTAACTTATATACACTGACAATTATCTAATATAACGTTATTTGTTTTAACAAGTTGCTCGTAATATCAAGGTTACGAGCCATTTAACTTATTTTAAGTCACTAAAATATAACATGACATGTTGCCACGATCACATTCAAGTAATATGTAGATGAATTAAATTCCATCAATTTTTCTTATGTTATATACAGCTTTTATTCATCCCAACTACTCTATATAGATTTTTTATGTTGTCACTAATGAAAATGTGCCTGGACCATAAAGTTTGGCCACACTTTCTAAAGTTCTTTAAAAATAAAAATATTTTTAGTAAGATTTAACTTATGTAAAATAATCATATAAAAATAAGTATTTATAAACAGTTATTTGTATGTGTAGGTTCTGTATTTACGCGATAGGCCGGATTTAAAGACAGTAGCAAATGATGATGATGATGATCAACTGAGCTGTGACTCTCCAAAGATCAGTTTCAGATGGGATGTTGATCAAAATTACTCTACAATTTCAGTGACCAAAAATCACCGATCTATAAAAAATTCCCCTTTAAAATCAACAGTGGTTCATATAGATCAGTGCCCAGCAGCAACTAGAAAAGGGAATTGGGTCACCACAGATTCTGAATGTAAGCTTCCTTGGTCCTTTTATTCTGTAGTCAATACCCCTATGGTTTACTGCTTCCAAACTTGGTTGTCAAAACTTGGAGTGAAATCCGTTCTATTTTCAGGCAACCCCATCAATACTTATTCGAACTAAGGTCTATTTCAGTAAAGTCATAAAGCTAACCAAAATACATCAATCATTTGTATATTTGATATAATGTGGAAAGCAATAATACATATTCATTATGTTCATGCAAAAGATTACAACCCTGATTTGGTTAAATCCGAATAAGTACTTATCGAGCTACTGTAACCCTTTTTCGATGGTTATATTTTATTTTATTTTTATATTTTAATTTCGAAGAAAGATTTTTTCCATCAATTTTAATGCTATTTTTTTTAATTAAACAGTTGTGGTACTAGAGCTAGAGCTATGAAGATTGGTGGTCTCTGGTCTATGTGCCACGTGGATTATAGTAATTTGTTCAATTTTGCTACTTTGATGTAACGTTATACGCACATGACATTCACCTTATATGTCAATTTTATATTCTAACCAACGTTCAACAATAACAATAACGTGTCTGGATGCTCCTAAAAATCGACGAACAGCAAGTGCTTCTTTTTGTGTGGATCTTATTTAATGAATTAATCCATATAAAACATTTTGATTCTACTCTTATATAGAGAGTTATTCAATATATTATTATTACTTGACATAAAATAAATAGTGAATTTATTTTTGTTCATGTAATTTTTTTACAGCCGATAGATAATTTGATAAAATTAATCAACATGTTAATTAATCGATTATGATAAATCGAATTGAATTTTGATGTCTGTTACAATTAAATTAAATTTGATAAGTGAAATCTGAAAATAGTGATATATACCTAATTTTATTCATAATTTGTAAAGATAAAAATATTATTTTTGATATACATAGATTCAAGTAAAATATATTACGACAAGAAAAGATAGGAAAAGAAGTACAGAAAAATTAAGGGGAAATAAATATTAACAATAACAAATATTACATATACTTGGACCATTCTAGCCAACTTTCAAACTCATAAATGTTTCATGGGACCAATTTCAAACTAATATCCCACTCATTCACCGTATTTAGTCGTAATATATAAATATAATTTTTAATTTGATGTTATTTAATAATTATAATCTTTAATATTAGATGTGCATAAGTAAATATTTAAATTTGTATAAAATTAAACAAATTGACACATTTGTTATACATAGCATTATATATGACAATATTATGCTCTACGTGGCGTCTTATGTGTATTACGTCATGTAGGATATGTATATCTACTTATTTAATTTTATATAAATTTAATTATCACACTCAAAGTTAAAGAACGTAGTTAACTATTGAAGTCAAATTAAAAAGTTATATTTATGTATTATATCTTATATTTACTTTGATTATAATTACACTATAGGTGGATTGAAGACTTTTATTACTCTTGCCTAATAAAAAGAAGAAACTTTTGATACGAAGTTATTTTTATATGAAAAAAAAAAGTAAGCAATCTATTGGTCTTAATTTAGTAATTTTTTATGAATGACCTCAATGATATATACAATCATATGGTATAATCTAGTAAAGGCCTTTAGTAGCATTTCCTCACTAGCTCCTTTGGTGTTTTAAAGATTAAAAACCAAGTCCTAGTAATTGGTAAGACCTAAAATAATCAATTTCAAATTTTAAATACATCATTTGACTTAATTTGTTTTACTAAATTTGACTTGATAAATTTTTTAAGAAAGTACAAAAAGATTTTAAATCTTATTAAGTTATGATATTAGAATGTATCAAAACAATCTTTTAAAAATTTAATCAATTTTAAATATATTAAAAAATTAAAATTAATGGGTTATCCAAAAAACTAAAAAGAAAATTGAGAAAAACAAACTAAACCTTTTTTTTTCATCCCACCTTCAATTAGATCAAACTTAATCTTAAATTCAGAGGTTGTGTCAAAATTATGAATTTGACGTTTCATTGGAGGTTCACAAACTAATATACATAAATTTTTATAATTTTTTGATATAATTATAGAATTTACGAAAAAGCTAATAAATTCGTTCGAACCGATGAACCCCCACCTAGCTCCGCGTTTGCTTAAACCTTACCTTAACCTACCAAAGTTTGATTTGTCTCAACCATATTTAATTTCCAAAAGCCAATACTTCAATTTTTCCAACTCTTTATATGTTTGTTTTTTCAGTTGTCACTATGCAACAAAGTAGGAAAACCAACTACTCCTCACATTTCTTTGTATAAAATCTAAACTAAGATCCTACACACTATATCAAATCATTAAAAAAAAAAAAATACTTTTTTCAAAACCCTTCAATAAAAAAGAATGGAAGAATCCATTTGTATTCAAAAACTCAATGTTCAAAATGACCAAAAAATAAAAAATTGGGATTTTCTTTCTTCAGATCTTACTGAAAAAATCCTGTCATACCTCCCAATTCGTTCTATAATTGTTGCTTCCTCTGTATGCAAGATCTGGAATTCCATAATCACTTCTTCTTCTTTCACTACCAAAATCTCTGCTACAAAAAAGCAGCCATGGCTTTTTCTCTGTGGCCAAAACAGTATTTTTTACAACAGTAATCAACCATTTGCTTATGACCCAGATGCTAATGAATGGTTCTCACTTCCCACTTCAACCCTTTTGTCCCAAGATTTCTTTTTTGGTTCAAATGGTTTTTTCTTTGCTACAACTTCAGAAAATTTCAGTTTTAAGCCTATTTTCAATGGAATTTGGGTCCAAACAAGTCCTTTGAGGTTCTCCAGGTGTAATCCTCTTGTGGGTGTTTACAATAAAGGGTTAAATCCAAAATTCATTGTTGTTGGTGGGGTTAGATTTGTTGGTGGTTTAGTTGATGTTGAGGATAGATTGGCTGTTGAGATTTATAACCCAAATCTTGATTATTGGGAATTGTGCCCACCTTTGCCTGCAGATTTTAGGTCAGGGAATTCATCACAGTGGTTATGTTCAGCCTTGTTAAGAGATAAATTCTACTATGTTTTTGGTATATATTCTTGTTTTATTACATGTTTGAATTTGGATGAACATTTGTGGAGTCAGGTACAAACACTTAGACCACCTGGGATTTTGTTCTCATTCTTGGTATCTTGTCAAGATTGTTTAGTTTTAGGTGGATTATGTAATTCAACAAATGGACCAAATTTTGTTCTATGGAAGGTTGATGAGGAAACAATGGAGTTTAGTGAACTTGCTATAATGCCTCAAGCATTGATGTATTGTTTGTTTGATAGTGATGAAGATGACAAATTTGCTAGTTTGAAATGTGTTGGATTGGGGAATCTTGTTTATGTTTACAATGAAGAACATCATAAGAATTACACTGCTTGTGTTTGTGAATTTAGTAATGATTTTAGGATGTGTAGTTGGAGAAAGTTGCCTAATTTGCCACCAAATGCTAGTAAGTTTCATAGAGTGATTAGCTTTTGTTCAAATGTTTCACTTGACAACATCCTTGTTGGTGCAAGAATTTGAAGTTTATCGCGTGGAGAGTGTGGTTAGATGGATAAGAAACATCAGACTTGAGATTTAAATAAGAGAAAACTCATGCTAAAGAGCATTAGCTAGTGGGTCTATGGTGTGAATTTAAATTCACCTGCAAGCAAGATGCATGGTGGGAATAAATGAGATCTTTTCTCGAGTTTGAGCTTTTGGAATAGAGAAATTTATAGCGGATTCGGAGCGATTTCTCTGTAACAAGCCTTACGTTGCGAATCTAGATTTTTTGGATGGTTTTTTCACTCATAATAGTATATGTACGTTTAGAAATATGTATTTTGTACTTTTTACTGTTCCCAAATTATATATGCAAATTATAGATGATATACCTTTTTCATATTGTGCTCATTAATTTTTTTTTTTTAAGTTATCCAATTTATTTTTCTTCTTTTTTGGATCTAAAAAAGGTGAAAAAGCATATAGGAAAGTAAACAGATGCTCGATTTTGAGATCATACAATTCAAGCTATATACGGCAAAACAAAAGAATTATAGAATTGAAGTTAAATCATTTTTTATTAAGCTCCAATGGCGTGTGACTGAAAATTTGATTATTTTATTAAAATCTAATTATTTTTAAGCAAACTGAATTTTAGAAGTTAGATAATAGCTTAAAATATGGTTATTCAAATATTAGACGATGAGATTCATAAAAATATAAGTAGGAAACATAAGATTAGAATCTACAATTATCTAGAAGAATAATTTTCAAAAACTAATTTTTCATTCGATGTTTGATATGTATATTATAGCCCGATTAAATTTGAATTTATGCCAGAAAATTCCATAGGAGTAAAACTCTCCGCTCCACCACAATTCTTGTCTGACTTTATTTATCCAAGTTTTAAATTTAAGAACCCAAAATCTAACTCATGACCTAAAAAAGGGGTTATTTGTATAAACTATCCAACTTCGTGACCCGTTAAATTTCGGGCCTCAAAATAAGCCCAAAAATTCACCTGATAACAAAACAAACAATTGGCTACTGCCGCTGTTTCTGTTAAGGGTTTACAGTTGTTTCTCTGAAGAAGAAGAAGAAGAGGGTTTTAGGGTTTTTGTTTATCAGAAAAAATGGATAGGTACCAAAAAGTAGAGAAACCTAAGCCTGAATTACCCATTAACGAGAATGAGATCAGAATTACTTCACAGGGACTTGTTAGAAACTACATCAGCTATGCTACTAGTCTGCTTCAGGTATAACACTCACTCTTTTTTTTTCCGTAACTGGTAAAGTTGTTGTCATGTGACCAAAATGTCTCGGGTTGTAGCTTTAGCGCACTGGACTGCTTCTTCTTTTATTGTGGCAGTTTTGACTGTGTTTTTGGTATAATTGTTATGCATGTATATATAGGTTTCCATTGGTTGTTCACAGGGGCATTCCAGAAAGTGAAACTTTTTTGTTTCTTCAGCTATTTTTTTGCTGCCCGATGAATTGGTGTTGTTTGATTGATTGGATTGATGTTTTTTGGGGATACTTGTGGAATCATTTACCAACAGTGTTATAGTGTTTGGCTTTTTGGCCCTGGAGGTATTATTATTTTTGGTTTGGATGATTGCATGCATTTATATTTTGTGTGCCTTTGTTGACAATGTAATATGTGGACTAAGATTTTTATGCTTAAGCTGTGAAATAGTGTGGTCTATGTGAGTGCAAATCACTCTGTGTTTGTAGGATGATGCTACAAACTATTCGTACCTTTTGGAGTTCTCGTGGTCGTGCATACTAAAGTAGTATTTGCACCAAGTAGTTCTATTAAAACAGAGTCAATGTGCATATGTCTTTTGCTGTCAATATGCAGTCTTATGTTTGTTACTTTAACATGACAACAATCAGTTGAGAGTATTCATGACCTGTGCCTAGAAGAATTAGTGATCATACATGCATATTGTCTCTGTTATTGCAACTTTATTTTTATTTCTGCATTAATACTTAGTGCAAAGAGGATTTCAAGAATTTGCTCGGGCACAGGAAACTAGTGGTTGTAATGGTTGTTCAACACATTGTAGAAGTTACATCTTAATAGCACAGCTAGATAATAAGATTTATCCAAAACTTCTATACAGAGAATAGTCTGGTGTTGTATATGTGGTCAGACAAGAATGAGTAAGATCCTAAGCTGAGGCTGTTTTGATGGTTCAAATGGAGTGGCATAACGGCTCTGGGAATCTTTCTTGTGTGTTTCGTATATTCAATTGCTCTGCTGTTGCCTTACTCCAAGCAAGAAAGACTTGTAGGCTTGTAGCGATATGATCTTTTGATAATTCATTCCATCCCTAAGGTTGAGGGTTGAAGCTGCATAGCAGATTATATCTTTCTCATTTTTTGGTCGGAGGTCTGATGTAAACTGTAACCAGAAACTTTTCAGAAGTGGCTAATAGAAAGTTTTATGACTATTGGCTATTCAGGAGAGGAGTGGGAAAGAGATCATTTTGAAAGCAATGGGTCAGGCAATAAGCAAGACTGTAGCTGTTGCAGAGATCATTAAGGTAGCTTGCCTGCTTCTTCTTTTTTTCTTCAGTACACTTTCTATATTTACCATATTCAGATGTAATTCATTGTTCAGAGAAGAATTCCTCGTCTGCATCAAGATGCTGCTATCAGCTCAGTGAGCATCACAGATGTATGGGAACCTATTGAAGAGGGCCTATTGCCGTAAGTTTTGAAGTCTTGCTATCTTTCTCAAATTTGTTTGTTCCTAACTGCCTATCATGTGGGATAAGTCCAAGGTTTACCTTTTATTCTACAATTGGGTGCAAATTGCATAGTTGTGGTTCTAATTCTTGTTAATGTTGGTTTTCTTTGTAAAAGTGTGGAGCAGACTCGGCATGTCTCAATGATTTCAATCACCTTGTCAACAACAGAACTGAACAAGGACTCTCCAGGGTAACCCTTTGCTGTAGTTTTTTTTAATTAGGATGTTCTTTCAGACCTTAACATGCTTACTCGAGTGCAAATTTATCTTACTTCATTGAGTCATGGTTTATTGTGATCATTCCTTCTCTCTTTTCGAGTCTTCTCGAAGAAATATCCCTTCTCTATGGTTTGCTTGATTTACAGAACATCTTATGTAAGTTCATGTTCATAGGTATCAAGCACCTTCTGATATTCAGCAGACTAATTACTACAACAATAACAACAACTACGCCCCACGTTATAGTTACCAGCCTCGACAGCAGCAACCACCACCTAGACAAGCACAAGCAGTTTTCAATGCTGGTAATGAAGGTAATAACCTGCTAACTAACAGAATAGTTATATAAGAATGATTCATGTGAAATTTGGCTACATCCTCAAAAATTACCATAACTTGATTTAGATTCATATGACCGAGGTCGTGGTCGAGGCCGAGGGCGTGGTAGAGGCAGGGGACGTGGTTGGAACAGAGGTGGATATACAAATTACCAAGATGGATATGATAACTATCAAGGTATTCTTCCTTACCCAAAGTATTTTTTTTTGTTTGGAGGCTCCAACGCTTAACTGGCATTGATGTATATTGTTTCATTTTGATAGAAAATGGTGGGTACTCAAACTGGGGGCGAGGTGGAGGCCGTGGTGGCTGGGGATATCGTGGTAAGCATGGATAGCTCATTGTTTTCTTCTCCCCCTTACTAGCTTTTATCATGTTATGAATGCATTTTTGGTTCCTAATATCTTTGTGTTATGGTGTCAGATTCTGGATATGGAAGAGTCAGGGGTGGAGGTGGCAGAGGTTATGGTTATGGTGGTGGACGTGGACGGATGGGCAACCGTCCAAGGGGTGGCAATAACAACCAGGCTTAGTTGTTGGTTGGATCTCTAGTTTGCTATACCATAAACGCGGCCTTGGCATAATGGTTTTCTTTTGTCCAGTGTCTGTCTAAAAAAAGCATGAAATTATTATGGCTTGTTGCATCGACGGGTTGTCTTGTTTTCCAGCATCATTATATGTGAAAACCAAGTTCAAGTGCAATTTAGACCATATTCTTTTGTTTATCTTAAAATGTCTAATCATTTGTTTATTTTTGATTTTTGTTCATGTTCTGGTACTCTCTTTTGAATATCTACCCCAGGGATTTCAAGATGATAACTTCCTTAAAATCTTTAAAAATATAATCCTCTATAGCCATACCGGATTCAATATTTGTTAACTGAAGAATGTCTCAAATAAGAATAAAAACAGAACCGGAGAAATCAAATTTCTACTCGTGTCTATTGTATATGGCATATTGCATTGGAAAGCCTTCAGTTTTACTTACCTTGAGGTAAAAGGTACGGCGTATACTGCTTGATTCTTATGATTGAGAAATTAACACCTATTCTATCGGTGTCTGCTAAGGAATAGCACCCAGAAGATACGGTACAGTACAAAGATAGAGAGGAACCACATGTTTAATATGCGTGAAAAACTCAACTACCCTCACAAACGGAAGATCTATGCTCAACCCAAAACTACGCTAAACATTACACAAAGCTTCCACGGTCGTATAAAAATATCAACAAACAACCATCCTGCTGGGGCTTAATTTGTAGAGTAAATCCCAGTTGTTGCACAACAGAGAAATACTACTTGGTTGATTCTTGATAATGTCTAGTAAATTATTCAGAGGCAGCCAGGCATAAACAAAAGACAGAAAATAGAGCTATATATGTACTATTTCCACCGGGTCGTTCAAATGATCTTTTATGTGAGCTCCCAAGGAGAAGCTTTCAGCAGTAGTCACTTCTCAGCATGACAAGCAACCTATGCACTTCATCATACCTCCACAGCATAGAGCAAAATATATCATTCAAAAAATAAAAAATAAAAATTGAATTACAAGGATCAGGCATTTTACTGCTAGAAGTGTTTAGGAATTGTAGTTCAATAACCACCGTTATAATAAATGACCATCAATTAATGACAATTGAAGCCATGACATATTGAAAGAACTATGACCATAATCAAGGCAAAAATGATGCCCAGGACTATAAGCTTTATCTTCATGTTCTGCAACCACATCTTCCTCCTCACTTTTGTTCCTTGTGTCTTGAAATCTTGTGCCTGCAATATAACACACTTTTAGAAACCCCAGTAATTCTAGTTTAAATGCAAGCAAACTAGTAAACAATAACACAAAGCAGATGACAAAAAGGGAAAAGATACAACTTAGGTGTTATAATGCAGCAATTCACAGGTTCCAATACTCCAGGAGCAATTTAACTCATATAACGACAGTTAGATACTAAAATTTAAGGAGAAGACCATAGCCTGAGTTTTGACCGACGGACTTCACAGTGGTGTCGACCAAGTGATAATTAGCAAACCATACAAGTGTAGAACAACGGACGCAAATCAAGTGTATATCGAAAGTTGCA